ATAGCTGTATGCTTGTGCCTATGGTATTGGTCGTGATTAAAACCGGTTTTTTTGAGGAAAAAGCCAAAAACGTTTTAATATATACTTAAAGTATAAACGGTATAAAGTTTATATATACGTTTCACATATCACACCAAATATTCGAACTGGAAAAGTGAAAGGTATATATTCTACTAGCTAAGAAAGTTTCTACACTTATATCACATATAATTTGTTGTTACGGATTTCATTTCATTTTACAAACAAAAGAAGCTAGAGCACATGCATGCATGCCAGAGATTTAAAGCAGGGAAATTGATCTGTATTGTATATACTTTGTGATTTGTGCGACTTGACGTCAGGCAGTCACCGTTAGTTATATCAATTCACTAAATATTTAGAAAAATATTTATAAAAACCCTGCATGGATAGTCGGTAAACACAAAGATGAATGTACCCACCTTCTAATGGTCGTGATAAACTTTAAACTCGATATTGTTTATTTCTTTTTTAAATTTCTTATAGTTTTACATGCATGCTCTTGTTGAAACTATATAATAAAATGTCACAGCGTACACGAACCACGATGCGAGATACTGCATGTATGTGGTTCGGCGCGCGCATGCACCGCCAATTTAAGCTTGTTTTCGTGGGTGTAAATCCTAGGTACAATCCGCGTGTTACTATACATGGGAAACCACTTCACATCAAACTTGCAAGAAATCTTGTCAAGTAACACTAACAGTCTTTCTTCTTTTTTCGTTCTTCTTTAAAAACAACTTGAAATGTAAGACAGGTTGCTAACATCCGGCATGATCAAAGCGGAACTAACAAGGAACCGCATTATAATGCGATCCTGATGTATAGAACGTATGCACGTATGTAGGCTAGCTTAGCGTTGCTACATTGGGCATCCAGCTAGCTGCAATGATGTTTCCTTATCGATAACATGCACTTAAGCCCAGTTTCTATATACTTGACGCAATATAGTCATGCATGTTAAGGTGGTTGGTGTTTTTAAATATTGCTATATTTGTGTTCCGTCAACAAGGGGAATTAAAGTTGACTCGAAAATGAAGACAAATTTCCATTCAAATCTATTTCACATCGATGACAGTGACTTGTTTACGGCGATGACGACTGACTGAAAAGCAGTTAAGCCACATTAAAACCAGATTAAGCGATGCATAAAGAATTTTAGTAAATTCACTCGTAGACATGCAGGGAAGAGTACCAGTGCTATATACTGAATTCTATACTTGGACAGAGCAGTTATTTTGAATCATAATATCCTATCCTTGACCGGACTGAAATTGCTCATCACTATACGAGCCGCGCCACACTTCTTGTATTTATTGAATTATTTCAGTTTAAATAATAATATATCGACTTATTGTACTTAAGAAACGACTTGGCAAGAGTGGCAGTCACATTTTATGCATGCATGTCTCATTAGTTATTCACTGACACTAGACCATGCCGACATTATGCCATCATGCAGGGCTATATGACTATAAAGAGTTTTCTTAGCTATATAGCCTATCATACCAATAAAATAATGAAATCCATTGAATTAATAATCTTTGAATATATATATATATGTATATATATATATTGTCACAATATTACACTATGTGTGCATGTATATTAACTCATAAAATATTTCTAAAAATTACGACAAGTTGAAGAAGGTAGCTATATAAAAAAAAACTGTATTAAATGTTAATTTAATAACATTTAAACATATAATAATATTAAACATTTAATACATTTGCCTATAGGCTATAACTGATGAGTAATGTATATACTCCTGGTTAAAACCATAGATATACTTGCATGTCTATTGAGTATTGATCAAGTGCACTTAATTTTTTTGATGTGCTTCAGCTTCATGGACCTTTTAGGTACCGTTAACTCTTGCAGGTGCTTGATAAACAAAACTGAATTTATTGATATTGCACGCGCGTAACAATTAATGTTAAATTGTTGTAAACAAATCAACAAAGTTCTTTTTGTGAACAAACATATTATGCAAGCAGCACTCAATTTATTTGATTTGTGTGGTTCAACATGGTCTGGACCTTTTCATTGCGATTCTTAATGAACAGTGCTTAAGAAATATTGCGTGCGTAACATGCATGCATGCAATGCAAGTTAACTTCTTGTAAACAAAACAAAACAACAAAGTTCTTTTTCTGAGCAAACAGATTATGCAAACAGGACATGCACGCAGGCATAACTGATATTAGACATTTGATGCTAAAATATTCCTGTTTATCAAAAACATGGAATGATAAAAAATGAAAACAAGTTAGCCTTATACGTCCAAGATCGCGAGACACAGGCTATCTCCGCTGGCTGTTGCTCTCCTACGAAAATTGCACGCAAACAACTAAGAAATGTATACCATTAGCATTCTGTAGTTGTTATGCCATATGTGTAGTTGCAATTTTGCATGTAGTTGTCATACTTCTGAGTATCGTTGCATTAATGCATTTGCAAGCAAATCTACCCATGCAGTAAATGTTACCTACCATTTTATACTGCATTGCATGGTCTCGATATGATGCATGATTGGTAAATCATGCATTTATCAATTTAAATCCAAGATATACTCTAATAGTATGCATGCCATTCGAGGGGGCACAAATTTTATATACTTCGTGCAGAACATGCATTACCGGTCGTGATATTGACGCAAGTAGCATGCATAGATTATGCATACACAAAAGCCGTGACAAATTTGGAATACAATACCTCAGACTAAAAAGTGGCTGAGCTAGCTAGTTTACTTTAAGACTTTATCAATCCTTTTGACTGAAACATAAATGTTTTTTGCTTCGTAGAAACCAAAATGAACATAAAACTTTCACTCAATTATCAAGCTGACTCCGGTATTAATAATAAGTTTGCGGCATCGTGCAGCCAAACTGTGCATGATAATGATAAAGTCGACGAATAATTAAACATGAAACCACTGTCGAAAAACGTAAGTTGTGACTTGTGTGTTTTAAGATTCATCTACAATTCTTTGGCACCCACAAAGATCAGTATGATAAATATAGTAATATTACTGCCAAATCTTATATGACTTCGGGATGTATATATATAGTAAGTGTAAGCATTTATTCCTATATTATAGCAAGTATAGGCGAAACTGGAAGGTGTTCAAGGAAACAGTTTCAGAAACACATACACTAGACTTATCTGCTATATAGACCTGCACTGCGTATGCTTTTACTCGCGATTACTTTCGTCATGTCCCTAGGCTCTTTTTATGCATTTACAATCTAATTTCATTCTAATCTTATTTACAATCTATCTCTACTGGCTTATATTAGCCCTCGTCCCCCCCCCATTCTAGTTAAACACCACTTTCCAATTTCCAACTTCCTCGGCTGTGACTGCATGAACATTCTGACAGGAAGAAGTGGGGTTGTGATTTGTTCAAATTAAACTTTTGAATTGATGCTCGAAACTATGATATATAGCCGTAATATACGGCTGGCTTGAAAGTTTCGGCTGTATTCCATATAGGCTATAGCTCACGAGTTGTCGGTGAAGTGTACTTGTGTACATGATGACGCACACGTCCACAAATATTTTTTTTGTTTTTGGCGATGAAATTTCGACTTATGTTCATTTCGTCATGCTTTAAATTAGAATTAAATATACTTGGTCTTTTTTAACAGACCCGTCAAATTAAAACGATAGACCTTTCCAATTTCCAAAGCAGTGCGTGATAGTTGTAAAGTATATATAGGCAAACTCAGTCGAGGTTTATTAGTTCAGTCATTGCTCATAGCGTCAAATCAAGCGAGTTTTTGGAATTGGATCGAGTTACTTTTTATATGCTTTCATGCAGATCTAAATCTCCTACTGCCGGAGCCGAAATAAGATATTATTATAATGATTAAGCCCTGCAGGATAATGGTAGATTACATGCAGAGATCGACTACCGGTTCACATTCAGTACACTGGTTCGAGGTGGCGGAAGGAAGAGGGCGTGTTACTATTGAAAAATTAAGTACGGAGCCACGTCTTTTCTGAAGAAAGAATGTTGTCTAATGTGATTCCTGCCCACAGTCAAAGGTAGAGGGAGGAAAGGCGTGTGGCATACAGACATGCATGCTTCTCATGTTTTGCATTTTTCTACAACTCCCCCATGGTTACCCCACTCCAGTCCTTTCACTTCGCCCTCGCGTGACATTTAGTTTTGTTGGCGAAATGACGGGTGATTTTTGTTGTCTAAAATGTACAAATAAGGCCAAGTTAATTCATGGGACCTGTGACAACTTCCATAACCGCGCTGAATGAAGTTACAAAAATCCTACGCGACAGACGATTAAAGATGATATCACAAACGCTTTGTTCACATTTGAACAGATATAGTCTGATATATGTTTTGAACTGACGACGAACTGTCTGTGAATCTCACACGTTATTGGTTCGCTATGCATGGAAAAGTGCATCAGGCGAATCTTGAAGGCGTCATGCTAAAGCTATATGCAGTTCAAAACAAACCACTCAGCGTCTCAGTCTGTGTGAAGATGCAGGAATGCTCGCGTCCAGACAAACAATGATAAACACCCTAAATGCCATGCCTTAGATAAAAAGTTTTTAGTCGGTTTTTAATATTTCCTTTCATGTCTAATGAACCCAGATAGGATTTGCTTTAAAATGTTTTAGGGGTCAAATTGGGAAACTCGAAAAGCCTGTCACCTACGTATACCTAAATGTCTTAAGACGTGCGAACGGAGCTGAATAAAGTCACTGAGACAAAAAAAACTTTAGCTGCGACGAAATCCGGCGGACCATCCAAGGTCAGCAGTGTGGATTTTAAGGAAAGGGGAATAAAGAGGAAGTTCAACGAAGAGTATCGAATGGATGTAGGCTCTTTAAAACGCGCGAGACTGTGTGAGTGTCATGGTGTCTAGATTTGAGGTTGTGGAGAAGAAAAGGAAGTCGTTTTTTTTATCACGCCACTCTATATATGGACGAATAAATAGCAGAGGGGGTAGTGCAAGTATATATTCACTTTTTCATGTAATACATTCAACATATTCCACATTCTGCATACAATTTCATCTCCTAAACATTTCGTTGGAAATAATTCGATGTTAACCTCCCATTCGTCCTCTTTCAAAATTTACTACGAATAATTGGAAATCCACTATTTTAGAAACAGGAAATTTTAATTTACAAGTATACAAGGTGCATGCATGAGAAATACTGAACACATGCAGTTAGGAACTATTTTTCAGCCTTTTTATTTTCTTGCTCTAGGACTTTCTGTTCCAAAATTTTAAGTTCTTTCTGTAAGCTTGAGTTTTCTATTTCAAGCTCTTTCGTTCTGTTTTGTATCCAAATGAAGCGAATTCTCTTTGCTTCACGCGATCTTCTTGCAGCCTCATTATTACTACTTCTTCGTTTCCAGTATTTCGCATCTTTTGGCTTTGAAATTGTTTCCTGAAAACCTAATTGTTGTTTACCTTTGCTATACCTCTCAGTGTTCTTTCCGTCTTCCGCTTCAGCTTCACCTTCGTGTTTTATTGACGCCAGCTCGAAACCAGGGTGGTCTCTGTCAACCCCGACACTTTTGCTTTCTTCAAAAGACAGAGGAATCATGCTAGACGTTAGGGGATCTAAACTGCTTTTAAGTCTCTGAACGACATCGCTTTCTTCTAGCGAAGTTGCCACCAGTACTAAGTTCACTCTCTTCCTTTGTAGCTTCTGGAGTAACTGACACGTATCTTGACTAATAGACTGTGGTTTCATGTTCTCCTCAATCAAGTCCGATAAATTTTCTTCCATTGCCGTGCTGCTCTCACTTGAAGTTGGTTTATCGTACTGTTCGTTTAATATTTGGTTAAAATATTCGAGTTCGGCATCAACAAGGCGATTATCACTCGACGTACATAAGAATTGTTGCTCCATGTATGTACTTTTGCCAAATGTTTGTGGAAATGATAGTTTTCTGTTTGTTTGGTAAGAATCCGCCATGAAGTTTCCAGCATTTTCAAAGATACACTCACCCATATTGTACCGCGTTGTTGCTGTAACGAAACGGAAAGATCTGTGTTATGTTAATCTAGAGCAATACTTTCTTAATATACCGTACAATTCCTCTTTGAATCAAGTGCTTTTAAGGCAAGCTGATGTGACGTCATTATTCTGAAGTATTCCAACCTTTCGTAACATTATGAATTCAGGATCAAGATGCAGTGGGTGTCCTTTTTGTTCATATTCAGGGTTATGCGATTATTCATCGATACAATTCATGCATACGCCTACACTAATAACTTTGTTGACTGAAATGCACTAAAATCGGTGGGCTGCTATTTTTCCTTTGATTGCGAAAGTAGGTGGTGTAGGCTGCAACTATATTGGTTGACCATTTCAGCTTAAACTGAGATGTATAATACTGATATGAAGAATAGCTACTTCTATGATATTCTCCGCAAGATTTAATTGTTTTAAATAATGGCCTACTTAATCCTGACTGACGCATATATCTGTGTATAGTACTATACTTCATGAAGCTCCACCAAGTCGGAGCCAGTAATTTTTCAAGCAATTTAAAAGTCAGACACTTATCCGGCAGATATAGCGCTACACATACATCATTCTTACAAACGAGCAAAGCAAGGCTTTAGTAAATGACCTTTTCTAGTATCGCATTCAGTTGTGTGTCTGCGTATAGATGTCTTATTAGCCACATGGACAAGCATATTTTTAATCGAAACGGCCATCGGCGAGGGGCACCGAAGGCGAAAAGATATGGACAAGCGGTGTATGATGCTGCATTTCTCAGTATATCGGTATTAGGCAGGGGGAGAAAGAGCTAGCCCTTTTCGGTCTTGTTTTCATCCTCAATATTGTGTGCCAGTGTTATATTACTTCAACCAAAACATTTATCTGCGACATTGGAATCGTTTATGATATACTTATTGTCAATATACTGATCAACAATTTATTTATTTCCAAAATGTGTCAATGTTATTTGTGAAACAAATCTGCACTAAACACACGCAAAAGTTAACTTTAACTGAAAGATTAACGCCTGTAAGGCTGTATTCAAAAAGCTCACTCACAGTCACACTCATTTTAATGCTGATGAATGAGAAAGTTTTCTCTGAATAGATGGAAAGATATAAGGTAAATCACCGCTGAGAATCAAGCCCCTGTTCGGCAGGAAATACTGCCATCGAAACGTTATGAGAAGATTAAAATGTCCCACTCAATGAGTTTGAGTGTGAGTGAGCTTTTAATTTAGAATACAGGCGTAAGTCGTACGCACTTGCGTACATGCACTCTTTGAATGTGACATAATCATAAAAATTTAGTTATTACTGATCAATGAGAAAGTTCTTTCTTAGTCAATGAATAGATTTAAGTAAAACACTGAAAATCAAGCTATTGTTTGACTGATAATACTGCCATGGAAAGTGATAAAAAAAATGAGATCTTCCACTCAATGTGAGTGAGCTTTTAGAATATACATGCAAACGCGGTAGACTAGCTCGTAAACCGAAAATTCAAAAATAATTCACTGAAGGTGTTTTAAATATAGTACAATATATGCGAACGACCAAGTCCATTTGTTAGACTTCCACTGCTCTGTACATTTTATTACTTTACGTATTCGACAAGGCAGAGGAGGTAGAAAAGATAAAAATAGACAAATTACGAGATATATAACGACGTAGAGTCACTCCGGCCATTTTATGTGTACAAATTGTATAAATATGACTTAAGAGAATAATATTGTATTTGTCATGACCGTAGCGGATCAAACGTTGCTATAAAAGTTCATATGAAAGAAATGTTTAAATATTTATACCTCGCAACACAAAACATGATGCAACCGAAGGCGAAGTCTTGCCAAACAAGATAAATATATGAGATGGAATAAATTTGGGTACAACATTATCATTTTCATCTGAATGGATTACTTCGCGAGACTAGTTGAAGAATCAATAAACTGTTTCGCATTGATTTTGCGGCCCAATACATTCAATATCTATACAATTCTGAATTCCCTTCGGCTTCGGTTTTCTTTGTTTTGTAGAATCAGTGCCAGTGGCTTTTTATTTCAGTCATACATTAAGGTTGATTCTTCCACAATCTCACCGCAAATATTATAACTATTCACAGCAATTACCCAAATTGCATGCAGTTAAAACTTGAAAGTAATTAGAGTTAGGCCCGGTTTACACCATCAAATCTTCTGTGATCAAACTTGGAATCTTCAAACAATGATTTGTTGGAATTTTCCAACAACGATTTGTTGAAAATACTGAAGGAAATTGTAACACTAATTAACACTAAGTTATTTCATCCTAATATTTAGTACATAATGTTTAGAACTTTGGATTTAACAACGCAAAATTGCAACTGTGATCACAGAAACTTTGGCAGCCGTAAACCGGGCCATGACACTCATGCACACTCAGCATTAAAGCCAACATTTGGAACGTACAGCAAAATCTGTTTACAAAATTTCATGTGAAATCTAGGAATTATTGTCGTTAGACATATTGCTAATTTTGGGTAATTTATGTGTATTTTCAAATTTGCAAATCAACATAGACGGGTGGAGTACTGCCTGTACTGGTGCTTTATTGCGTAAATCCTTCTGCTGTCCTTGGCTAAAGAAATACACACGCCTCCATTACATGCATGTCATTGGGAATTTTAGTCTAGGTAACCTGTAACTGCTGTAAGACCTTACGGATTACTGGCAGAAACGTGCAACGCTAAATTAGAAGTCGACTCACTGAACGTATGTTGGGCAGACGAGCTCATGCAGAGGCAGAGCTGCATAGCGTCTTAGGCTTCACTGAGTAGAGAACGAATCGTCCAAACTATTTACAATCCTTGACATAGTAAAAAAGATTGTGTGCGTAAAATGTGTAGTCTGTAGATAAATGAATAAAGTGTACCTCGGCTATACTGATCCATCGTGAGGTAATCGACGGGATTAATGTTTTCAACTTTTTCAAGGCCACGAATATAATATTATATTATAATACCGGATTGATCAACGGCAACATATAAATTTCATCATACCTGCTGACAGCTTTAGTTGTGGGCACAGTTGCTAAAGAAAAACGCCAAATCCGAAATGCCAGTTTTTGTAATAACTCACGGAATTTGCCTTGAACTGAGAGATCGTTCACATCGATGAAACACACTGACGGTGAAACAGCCGGCGAAATATTTTAATGTGTAAACAATAATTGTTGTGAATAAGGAATTTCTTGTGTTTATACACGAGCTGAGGTTAGCATTCGTAGCACAGCGAAGATTCAAGTCAAGAGCAGCTAAATTCGATCCATGTTCCGGCTAGAGCAGTCTGAAATCACTAAAAGACACTTCCTAAGCCTAAGGAAATACAGTCTATGATCTATCTACGAGGCGTATGCACATGCATTAAAGTGCTGTTCAAGTCACGCGGCATTACCACGTGTTGAGGACATGCGTCGGACCGTCGGTATACTCGTCGTTTTATTTTGGTTTAGTAAAGATTATAAAGACAAATATAGATGTTGTAACTAACAGCATTGGTGGAGTTTCGTGTAATATCTGATTGAGCAATGAGTATGTACGCAACAAGACACATGAATTTTCCAAAACTGGAAAATGTCAAATGTGTTCCGCACCGTTCTCCCCAGCCTAGTCCCCAGGCCTTTTATATGCTTCTTAGTGCACGCGGCGACGCAGGCGGCGACGCGGGAACTGAGAAGCCAAGAACAAAATGTATTATTTTGGCTAAAGTAGCCGGACGCCTGTTTCATTCGGTGACATCATGTGATAAAAGGCCTGGAACTAGCGAGCAAAGAAAGTTAATTAGTTGTATCATAGACAATCCAGAAGACAGGGCCACTGGAAACGCAAGCTAAAACACTTATAATGTTGACGCGCCATCCGTGATATGGCTTTATCAACGTCAATTTTTAAGTTGCTACGCAACCGGGCTCTTTATTCAGAAAAAATAATGCAAAGTAGATCCAGCAAAAGTTTGCATATTTTGAAGGATTTTTTGAATATAAATATAATATTTCTACCTGACCTTTATTAGTCAGATAAATTTTCAAAGTAAGTGCGTTTTCATTTTTCATCTTGAGTGTAAACAGTGCTCATAGTTCCAGTTCCAGAAGTGTTTGCATAAAAAATATACGCACGTAAAAATTAGGTAGTTTTTTGGGACCCTGTAACTTGACTAATCAAAGCTATAAATTTTCATTGAAAACATACAAATAGCATCTTATATTACAAAAGAATGCATTAGGACAGCGACTGCAACTTGCAACTTGTCTTCTGGATTGTCTATGGTATTTAGTTTAAATTTAAGTTATAATTAGTTCTCGATCGGTATAAACCCTGTCCTTCCACTAAAGCTAGATCAATCTTTCCTTCAAAGTGTAACGTAGTTAACCACGTGATGATAGATCACATGACAGTAGAACACGGGTAGAAGTAGTGTGGATGCGAGCAAGAGGCTAAGCTAGATTGTTGATATTAAAAACTATATTTAAACACAATATACGGGTTGAAGAGTATATTATAATTGGCGACGAGTACATGTAGATATATTCGAACTCATGAGCGTAGAACAAGAAAACATACAACCAGTCTCGATGGCTACAACTCTCGATTTGAAACCACCACACCCGTTTGATGCGGAGGGTGACAGTTCCTCGCTAGCCCAACGCTGGAAAGAATGGCGAGAACGTTTTAACATGTATACAGTGGCTGCCAACATCAAAGACGATGCACAGAAACGCGCAGTGTTACTGTATGTAGCGGGTCCATCGGTTCACAAAATATTCAAAACACTACAAAACACAGGAACGGATTTCAAAACGGCGCTCGAGAAACTCGACGAATATTTCCAGCCTCAAAAGAACGTTATTTATGAACGGTATGTTTTCAAACAAACACACCCAAGTCCAGGTGAGTCGATAGATAGTTTTATCACTCGTTTACGTACGTTGGCCGAGACATGTGAATTCGAAAGCACGGACAATGAAATACGCGATCAATTTGTTATGACATGTTCGTCTCACGGTTTTCGTACAAAGCTTTTACGCGAGAAGGATTTGACATTAGCAAAACTCATAACTCTGGCGAGAGCGAAAGAATTAGCAGAAAAACAAGCCTCCAATATCTCGGGACAACACAGCTCTCAAAACGGTGACAATCGTGTAAACAAATTGGAAAATAGAGAGGCTAAATCGGGAGGCGAACAAGGAAAATATGTGCCAAAATGTCGAAATTGCGGCAATGATTTCAAACGTGGTCACAAAGAGGTTTGTCCAGCCAAGGGCAAGACCTGTCGAGCATGTGGCAAGCCTAACCATTTCGCCAAAGTGTGTAGGGGTAAAAAGAATATCAGAAACCCTCATGGGAAAGATAACAACAAAGAATTGGAAGAATCGGTTAAATTAGCACAACAACAACACCTCAAAGAACACAATGTGCAAAGCCCAAGTTCGTCAGACGATGAATATACTTTTGCTGTGTCCTCACCAGCAAAAGCGACCAGCACCAAAATACAAATAAATGGGACTCCGATCGAAGTAACTATTGATTCGGGAGCCACAACCAACATTCTCGATAGTGTGGCGTTCTCTTGCATTCAGAAGCGAAATAAACATGTACAATTAGAACCAACTCAAACAAAAATATATGCGTACAATGCCGTTCAGCCCTTACCGCTGGTAGGAAAGTGTTGTTTCGCAGTTGAGTCAAATCGCAAGCGTGTAATAACCACATTTTATGTTGTCAAGGGTAAAGCAGGATCACTACTCGGTAACGAAACGGCTGCGGAGTTAGGTATTTTAAAAATAAACGTGAACGAAATTCGTAAAGTGAGGCAAAGTGAAACAAACACTTCTCGGATTCAAAGCAAACAAACAACAGGAAGTCAGAGTAAAATCGAAAGCGGAAGTCCGAGAAACGGAAGTCGCGCGAACAGTCAGAATACATTAGGAAAACGCGAAATTAATGAGAACATCAATACGAGAAACATTGATAAAAACACACAGAAAATTTTGGATAAATTTCCGGAGCTCTGTAATGGTATCGGGTGTCTAACAGAGTATGAGCAGTCATTGCATGTTGATCATACAGTCACTCCAGTTGCACAACGACCTCGGAGAATCCCATTCCATTTACGAAAGCAAGTTTCCAACAAACTTGATGAGTTACAGAAAATGGACATTATTGAACCAGCAGAAGGACCTACGTCATGGGTATCCCCAATAGTCGCTGCCCCAAAACCACACAACTCAGCCGAAATCAGATTGTGTGGTGATTACCGTCAACCAAATCAAGCATTGTTAAGGGAGAGACATCCAATCCCTACGGTTGAGGAATTGATCGAAGATATGTCAGGTGCAGTGGTATTTTCAAAACTAGATCTCAAAGCGGGGTATCACCAAATTGTCCTGGAAAAGAATTCGCGCAACTTAACCACTTTTTGTACACACAAGGGACTGTTCCGTTACAAACGTCTGCCGTTTGGTTTGTCGTGTGCTTCGGAAGTATTCCAGAATGCAATACAGCAAGCGCTCCAGGGACTAAATGGGGTAAGAAATATCGCGGACGATATTATAGTCTGGGGAAAGTCTCAAAAAGAGCACGACAAAAATTTAGAGGCGCTTTTACAACGGCTAGTTGTGAAAAAGCTTACATTAAATCTCGAAAAATGTAAGTTTAATCAACCAGGTCTCTGGTTCTACGGCTATATTCTGTCAAAGGACGGACTCTCGGCTGATCCCAAGAAAGTCGAGGCAATCAAGAATTTCAAAACACCAACAGATGTGAGTCAGCTTCGTAGTTTTTTGGGCCTTGCCAACTACTGTGCACGGTTCATCAAGGACTTCTCCACTCTCACCGCTCCACTACGTGAATTAACAACGAAGTCAGCCAAGTGGTGTTGGTCAAATGTCCATGAACAAGCCTTCTCTAAAGTTAAACAAGCTATTGCTTCGGACTGTACAATGGCATTCTATGATCCAAATCGACCTACTACCCTGACTGTCGACGCTAGTCCAGTTGGCCTCGGCGCAGTCTTATCGCAAACTCAAGTGAACGGTCAGGAACGTTGCATTGCCTATGCAAGTCGGTCATTAAGTCCAGTAGAAACTCGTTACTCGCAGACGGAAAAAGAAGCACTGGCTGCAGTGTGGGGTTGCGAGCGTTTTCACCTGTATCTCGTGGGTACTCAGTTTGACCTCATCACCGACCACAAGCCACTCGAGATTATTTACAGTCCCAAGTCAAAACCACCTCTTCGAATAGAAAGATGGCTCTTACGATTACAGCAATACAAGTTCAACATCAAGTATCGCCCGGGAAGCGGCAATCCTGCTGATGTTTTGTCCAGACAGCCTTTGTTTACAAATTACAAGTCAAGCACCATTGCTGAGGAGTACATAAACTTTGTACAAGATCACTCCATTCCGAAGTCGTTAACACTCGAAGAGATTCGTATTGCCACTGCGGAAGACCCAGAACTGCAAAACGTTATTTCAAAGGTAAAAGGTGGACATTGGAACAAAGCAGAACGCGACATGACCTCGTATTATAACCAACGCGAGCAGTTAGCGTTGTCGGACTGTGAAATAGTACTCCGAAATTCCCAGATCATTATTCCAAAAAGTCTCCAGGCTCGAGTGCTCGCTATTGCACACGAAGGGCACCAGGGAATAGTTAAGACAAAGATGCTTCTACGTAGCAAGGTATGGTGGCCGGGTATTGATAATCAAGTTGAACGACTGGTCAAGCAATGCTTACCCTGCCAAGCAGCAGTCCACCAATCACCCAAATGCCAACCGCCTCTCAATATGACGAAATTACCGCCCCATCCGTGGCATACTGTACATGCAGACTTCTGTGGTCCTTTTCCAAATGGTGATAAGTTATTGGTCGTGATTGATGCACACTCCAGATATCCAGAAGTCGAGATAATGCAAAGTACAACGACCACGGCGGTTATAACCAGATTGCAACGAATTTTTTCAAGGCATGGGTATCCGGAAGAGTTTACCTCCGATAACGGTCCTCCATTCAACGCAGCGGAGTTCACCAATTACCTAAATGAACATGGAGTTCATCATCGCCGAATTACACCTTACTGGCCCCAAGCCAACGGGGAAGCAGAGCGATTTATGAAAACCGTTACAAAAGCAATCCGCACCGCCCATTCTGAAGGAAGAAGATGGCAAGATGAGCTTGACACGTTTCTTCTCAACTACAGGTCAACTCCTCATTCAACGACTCACACCAGTCCAGCAGAACTTCTGTTCAATCGTGTGATCAGGAATAAGCTTCCTAGTTTTTCATCACTCCAACCCAGCGAGGATAGCGACCAACAACACGTCGTTTGTGATAAAGAGGAAAAGAGGAAAATGAAAATGCATGCTGACAGAAGAAACAAAGCAAAAGAAAGTCCATTGAAAGTCGGTGACTATGTTTTAGTAAAAACTCCAAAGGACAATAAGTTGTCTCTGCCTTTTCAATCCGAAACCATACAAAGTATAGAAATCAAAGGTAATATGGTAACAGCTCGTAACGCTGAACAAATGGTAACTCGGAATGTTTCCTTTTTCAAACGTCTCATTAATTATAAGAATCCCATTCTAACTGATGATGAAGATGATTCTGATAATGATTATGAGCAACAGGTCCAAGAATTACCGATCCAAGAATTACCACCACGAGAACAAAGATATCCTTTGAGACAAAATCGAAGACCACCGGACTATTTTAGATTCAACCGGTGAACTGTTTATGTTTAGTAATTGTTTAAATACTGAAACTGTATTTAGTGTTAAGAATAACCAGTAAAGCGGACAGCTAAAGACTTTAAGGTAGTTTATACCGTACGTACCATTAGTTCATATTGACATTATAAATCTTAAAAAGAAAGGGAGGGATGTAACGTAGTTAACCACGTGATGATAGATCACATGACAGTAGAACACGGGTAGAAGTAGTGTGGATGCGAGCAAGAGGCTAAGCTAGATTGTTGATATTAAAAACTATATTTAAACACAATATACGGGTTGAAGAGTATATTATACAAAGGAGGAGATTGGTCGATGTAAAGAGGATCTAGATTCTAGAGTCTACATCTCATTTAGTTGATTGTTTCAGTTAGTATACGGTTTACCATTTTTATCGACGATTAAAGATGCAATCTTCTTATAAACCACGTTTGCACTGCAGCCCATACCACCTGCTGTTGAGAAAACAAGAGGAGAAAAAGACCCACGTTCTACTTCTCTGATACGTTCGTTATATGCTCTTCTTTTCTCAAGCACATTTCTGTGATAGCATTGGGAGAGCATCGCCCATGCACTAATATAACGCCTTCGGCATCGTTGCACTCAAACACTTGACGAATCGCGTGTACTGCTGCTTCATAGCCTGACAAATCTCTAGCACATGTCTGTAATGGACCTGTAGCTTCTTGGATTTCTTTACCAAAAACTCCAGCAACCGCTTTACCAATGATACGACGAGACACCTCTTCAATCCCAACTGGACGTACTCCAGGGCATTTATCAAGTGCAATAAGGCGACTGGCAAGAAGAGCTTCTAGACCTGATGGGTCAACCGGTAAGTGGTACAAATTCTTCTTGCAACCATAGATAAGATAAAGCATGACATAAAGCAGTGGAGCATGATTTAAATTATGTACGACCAGATGGTCCTGCACTTCCTTCTGTTTTAATGGCCGTATTCCGTAACTATAGCTGATGGTACGGGGGACAACCAGGGGATGTTTTTTCAAAAGTGATTCTCATTCTCAGGGTTTTCGGGCCATTCGGGGGTGACACGACTATCCAAAGTTAGAATCTCTCCATTGTTGTCTTCTGAAATCTTCCGAATTGATGCTCTTACTTTGCCCTCAATCATTAACTTCGCAAAGACTGGCAGTATGCTCATGTATGACGGCAGTATGCTCATGTATGTATCGCAAAGACTCTGCCAGTATGACGTACTGGGGATTACTTCCTGTTCCACTAGACGCGGGCTCAGAAAGGTGAACAATAAATTATTATGCATAATGCATTGTTTTTGGCATTGTTAGTTGTTTAATACCTCTTGTTACCGTAGACGGTAGACTTGTAACAAATTTGGCAATTTTAGTGAAAATGTTGCAGCCTATTTTGGAAACACTGAATAAAAAGAACATAATATTGGCTAGCGGCTCTCCCCGAAGAAAGGAAATAATGACCGCTTTGGTGAGTTTCCATCTTAACTGACTGGATAGTGCACACGTGGTAAAGTGGGCCAATTCCATATAAACATCCCTCTATCTCAATCCCACTTGGAATTTCTTAGGGGAGCTGAACTATGACTTGAAAATCCACAAGGGGGAGATGAAATATTATTGGATTTCCTCTTTAGAGAAACAAGTATCCTAGGAAGGAGGGTATAGCAATATTAAATAGTAGCCTATTTGCAAAAATAGGCTAAACCACTATCTCCTTTTTAGAGGTTTTCTGGGCCCCCTTGAATGTGCCACTTATTTCATTTAGGCACGGGTTTGCTCATAATTCTGGAGAAATTTATAAAAGGGCTTAGTATATGTAAAGATAAATGATCCATCCCCTTTTGGATAGCCAGACCTGCCATCATTGCAATAAGAGATAACATCTATCTTGCTTGAAATAAAACCGCAATTACTGATGTTGCTTTTTTGCAATAAAGTAGAAGAGGGAAGTCAATGCACAAAATGATGGTGTTTTTCTGAGTGAATGATGAATTTTGTCAAATGTGTATGCATAGATTTTGCTTCCTAAGTGTTTTATTGCTGTTTATACACTGTGCCTACAGGAAGCCAGACATTTGTACAAGAAGGAACGCCACAGAACTTGTTTTTTTCTGAAGGCTCAACCCTCAAATCTAACCACTAGGTTGCAATTTTGCATTTCTGTATCGGAAAAATTTTAATTTTTCTTTGGAATATGCATTCTGCATTCTTTTGACAGCTCATTGTACACATCTGACAGCTGTTAGCCTGTCAAATGGCCATTTTGAGGCTTAAAGTATACACAAGGTTATTGATTCACATGATTTGTTTTTGCCATGTGCAAGCTTCAAATTTTGTTGAGTATTTAAAAATCTTTTTCTCGCCAAGTTTGAAGCCTAAGTGGCTTATCAATGTCTGCAGTGCCACCAGAAGGTGTGTGCAGGGTGCAAGACAACACTAATTCCAGTGCTGTACTCTGCTCTACTCTCTACTCTGTAAAGAAAGGGTATAGCATTATCCTATTTACTGGTGGTGGTGGTGCTGATGCTAGAAGATAGCTAAGAATATCTTGTATATTCTGATCCCTAAAAAACTGAAGAAAACCGCGGAAAAATTAAATTCACTGGATCTAATAGCAGTGACGAAAATAGAAAAAATAAACTCCTTTTTTTATCAAGGGTTTAAGATTCACTTCAGTTCCATCATTGTTTGAAGAGAATTTAGAAAAGTCCTTATTCAGTGGACCCAGTGAGTATGCAAAGGAAACTGCGCGACAAAAGGCCTTAGAAGTTTATCATCGTGTTCATAAGGTAGGCACGTGTATACATACAATAGGTACAAATTTATTAGTTTCAGTTCTGACACCGTTCTGATAATTCTTCCAATGAAGAGCGTTGCTGCTCGTTAATTTTTTCGTAAATGTTGTTCATAAACTCAAACAAAAAATATAAAAGGTTCTCTTGCGAAAGGTTCTCTCGTAGTAAAATCGTAACATTTCTCCTATTTTTTATGAGTGGGTCTATATAGTGTTAATTAGGTTACGTTGGTTTCATTTAATACGTTTTACCAAGACACCGACCAATTAACATATATTACAATAATATTCCTTCAGTTCACGGTGGCACCGTGGCAGAGGTGGCTAATATTCATATTTTCATATAAGAAGACGTTAAAACAATTCATTTCAAAAGAAACTTAAGAATGCGATCTTCCGCCGTCTATGCGATGATAGATCACATAACCTTACAAAAAATCCCAGGGTTTTGCATTTCAATTTCTTGCCCTGTCCCCGCACTTTTATTTAAGCTATTTAAGCACTCCTACACAAATTATTTGACAAATTTTTTGTTATGCTACTCCTGATGATATTATTTTGTTTTACAAAGACAGATGAGCCAGACCTTATTGTTGCCGTCGATACAGTTGTTGTAAGTAAAATTTGAAGAAAGTATTTTGTTGATAGCCTTTTTAAACTAAATACCCTTTCATGAATAAAAATGGTAGCTACATTTCTGTCGTCGTCTTCATACGTCTGCTGAAAATGTAATTGGATACACTCACGCGCACTTGTTCTTTTAACGCGGCCACTGTTTGGTTCCTTACAAACTCTTGCAACCACCAAATTTAATTTGGCAATTTTAGACAATTTTCGGGTATAGATTCGTTACATCACATGATCGCAAGCAAAAGCAATAATGACTGCTTATATGAGCCGGGCTAACCAGCTAGTCATAATATATTCATGAAAATCTTCCTTAGTAAAAGTAAAACAGAATGTTTCAACGAGGTACAGCAGAATGTTCGCCAAACTGTAGCTAACCTTTAAATTTCATGTGGGGTTCTGTGACCACAGTATAGGTGACGAAATCGCTGGGTACCCGGGTTGGCCCGGCTTCATATAAACACACCCCTCTGGCCCTCTATAATGGTGCTCGTTATTGGTAATAAGAAGATGCCTTATTAGTTACGAGGGCAAACCCGCGAATACTTCCCCACTTACGAGCAAGTTAAGCTGCAGCGGCTTCTCTCTTTAATATAGCATGGAAAACGTTATATACGCGTTATATATACACCTTCTCTAATTTTACCACCCTCCCCCCCTAGATTTTTGTTATGGAAGTCTCGCATTGGATGTTCATGCACTATATGTACCTTCTGTTATAATTCAGTTTCTAGACAAGATTATTGAGAAACCAAAGGATGAAGAAGATGCGTATCGGATTATTAAGAGGTATTTTAAAGAAGATTCGAAAACGTTTGTGCATAGTTTGAGGAGTCATGCAACGCATTCGCTCTTGTCAATCTTGTTCGATCTCTGTCCTTTCTTAGTTTGAATGGAAGAACACATTCAGTGCACAGCGGTGTAACATTTCTTAAACCAAATAAGAGCGAGTCGTTGAAAGGTGAGTTCGACAAATATACTTCATTCTCAGATGTAACTAAATACGTTGGCATTGTACTTGTTTCGCCATATGAGTCAATATTTGCAAGTTTTTTTTTCTGGGAAAAACATCCCGATCGATAAACCACCTCAATTGGCCCTTCATCATTATAAACTTTCAAATTCATATTCTGAATTTTCTACGTCGAGATTATCGTCTCCGGCAAAGTAAAATTCATCGGTTTTCCAGATCAGATTTAAATTTCAGTATTAATTCTACATTTATCGTGTTATTTTGCCTAATCTGCAAATATAGCTTGGATCTGTGTGTGGCATTTCGCACAACCCAAGAAATGTGTCTCATTTAATAACTTGGATGGATTTTTTTATAATGTATTTTAATCGTTTTTGTTATGAATTATTATCCATATCCATATTTTTCCATACTGCTAGTAAACCTGGATTTTTTTTCGTTTAAGAGCCTTTCTCTATACGCCAGTTCGATGAAGTAACGAAGGTCACATTTGGTTCGTTAACAGATGAAATGATTAAAACCTATGTTGCAACTAAGGAGCCTTTGTACGTTCTGGACATTCATTTATTGCATTCAGTTATTGGCCCGATTAAGAGACGGATTATCCGTTTAGACGAACTTGAGCAAGCGAAAGATAGTTCGTCTTCTAGTTCGTCTGTGTGTAAACACGGGCAAACAGACGGATCATTCGTCAACACGAGTTCTTTTTTATAGACATATTTGAATGGTATAGTCGTCTTGACGCATCATCCGTCTGTTAGTATAAATACGGGGTGGGGACGAACAACAGAAATTCATCATAAAACGGCTCTTGTGTACTCTTTACCACATAAATAATTTCCTAATTCCCGTGCACTTTCTTGACGCGCGATTCTGTTTTGTTCGACATATTCGTCTATACACTTGCGATTTTTGCTGTGATTTTTTTCGATGTTAACGAGCGGATAAGTTACGTATTTGAAAATAAGGGTACTTAGGGCTACATCAGATCATTCATAACTTTCCCCTCGTTCATATCCATTAAAAGAAGAAAATCGCAGCAAAAATTGCAACTGTAAACGGGCCTTGAGATATACAAAACAAAACAAGCCAACACATATGAAGCAAAAATGCTGTACCAGTGGACGTTACTAGAATAACAAATTGCTTTTTTCTGTTTTACAGGGACAAAGCTGGTGGATATCCTTTTTATCATAAAAAGTGAATGTGGTTGCATGAGTGGATACAAAAAAACTATACCATCGCTCTCGTTGATTTATAAAATAATCCCGTAAGTCAGAAACTTAACCAAATCATTCTAAATTTTACCTGTGAAATTCGCGAATTGTACATATGCATGTGTGTATCAGGTCAGCAATTATAATTGATTCAAGTGAATGAATCCCGTTAAACCTAAAAACATACTCCTGGAACATACTCCAGCAAAAACATCTTGAACCTCACGACATGAGCTATAAATACGTATAATCTTTCAATTAGTGATGTTAAGGTTCCATGCAGAATCATTGCCAAACCATGCACATGCAGTGTGGTTTAAAATAGCTTGTTTTAAAATTCTATAGTTCATGAAGCCTCATCTTGTAACCAGGGAGCAGCTTTACAAATTAAGGGTCTTCAAACAACTTCGCATGAACTGTGGCTTAAAACTGCCTGAAATAGAAACTTCTCGACGTTTCGACCTAAGCTGCCGTTTTGACCTAAGGGCCTTCGTAGTATTAGTATATGACTCATACTAACTCTTCTGATGAAGGCCCTGAGGTCGAAACGTCGAGAAGTTTTTTTTTATTTTAAGCTGGTATTATTATATTAAAGATTATCGTTAGTTTCTTTGACTTTACTTATATACGGCATACAGTCAACAGGTCTCGGCGGATCTTTTGTCAAAAGCATATCTGGAGATTACTTTAACGTAATGGGATTTCCTTTGCATCGCTTTTGTGTCGAAATACGAGCGATTCTGGAGGATAGTCATATGAACGACACCTAACAGTAACGTGTGGGTTTCCAGAATGACAATGTCTTCTCTTCTCAAATTCAGTGGAAGCATCAAGGATGGATGTAGTGTATGACATTTTTTTATATTTTTAATTTGACATATTGCATTCATTCATTGAAATACATGAATTGGACCACCGTTTTGCACTGCTTTAACAGTTTAACCATAATATTTTCAGTCAGTCTGTCAAAACCTTTTTGACATCTTCCGAGGGTTAACAGTGGATCGCGCAGGATAATTGGCGTTTTGAATTTAGCTGTTGTACTACGTTTTCTAGCCTGCTCGCAGACTAAGTTAGGGGGCCGGAAATTAAACGGGGAAAGTCTGCGAGCAGGCTATACGTTTTCCTATAAAGGAATATATTTGCGTTAGTTGATCAGAAAGCATAACTTTCCATGCAGGTGCGTCTGCACGCTTCGAAGAGGGTAGCCATTTACGTGTACCTTTTTCTGTGGAAAAATCATAAGGCGAAACTGTATCATATATATAGCATGCATGCATAGTAGCTATCACATCAAAAGTAGTTAGCTATCATAATTATACCAAATTGTTAACCCAAAATCTTTTTTCTTAATTTCTCCTATTCAATTTTAATTTCAACAGTTGTTTAATTTTACTTTTTTTTGGCAATTTTTTTTGAGAAATGTAACTCATTTTTTTAACCCATGATGCATAGGAAAAATTGCTGTGTGAAAAAGTTAATCGTTCGTGCAAAGAAAAGAATTGCTGGCGCACGCGATATTCTAAAAATATTCTAAATATTTTTTATAACTTATTTAAATTCAAGCAAACAGGGGTATATATATCGAGAAAAAAAACAACATTCAACAGTCTGACTCAAAAACCGCCACCAGCAAGACTCTTATCGCTGCAACCTCGTTCCCAGGGATTTTTTCGCTATATTCGTTGAGGAAATTTTGGTTTCCCGACACATTCATCCGTTGCACATATCATATGAATGCAAACTCGTGCAAACTTTCAGTTGGCTTAAAAATAAACTGGGCAAATTGCATCATTGTGGTGCTGCTGGTTTAGCAACCGTTTTTTATGCTCCAAAAGGGTCGTTTTCACGAATGATGCGCATATAATCGGTCAGTAAAAATGAATCTCGTCATTTTGTTTACATTACTGGAATTATATGTCAATAATGACCATGCATAACAAACCAAAAATAACCCTGCACTTAAAGTTAAGTCAACACAACATATCTGCGATATCGCCCTCCGTGATGTACAGATGTTATCTTAGAATGCAAGTATTCGTATTTTGCAGTAAATTCATCTCCAGTACGACAATGCTTCGAGGAATGTTAAACCTATTTGCATGAATAATCCGCGTGAACTGCACACCAAAAAGCTCCATAAAGAACATTATCTCTTCAGTCTTCTAGGGCCTCGCGAATAGCCGGATATCCTGTGCAGACAAAAATACTTTGATTGGTGAAATCAGTTTATAATGTACGTAGGCTGCGTTTGGTTAACCTTTAAGCCAATTTCTGTTTTGCAATGCTGTTGACGAGCTTCGCATTTGAGACGCAGTGCTGATTGAACGAGACCTAGAAATGACCAATCAAGTTTTCGCTCTCAAAATGACCCCTATACAAGACCACAGCTTTCCCGGGAGAATCCCCTGAGAACCGTCAACGTCCAGCTTTTAATAGCCTGGCCCGTATAGGTGTTCCCAGGAGGTTACCCGAGTCCCTGCCATGCCACAATTTACAAACCTATTAAGTTATTAAAAATTACGATTTCATTAAAAGATTTTTTTGCAAGACGCCCACGCCATCTCTCAATCCTTTCCTTCACGACTAATCTATAGTTGCACACTGGATGTAATTCGTTGGAAAAGTATCCAGTAAAAGAGAAGGCATTACCTCTTTTATTACTAACCTCGTTTAAGATACATATTGAGATCTGATTTGCTGATTGAAATATATAACAGCATGGCTTTTAGTTGTCTGTGGGTGAGAAGTAACAATCACCGCTGCATATCCACCATTTATTTATGCACACGTCACGTGGATTTCGCTGTGTGGAAACTAGCACGCCGCTTTTCAACAAAGCTTTGTGCATTATTGATATACGCCGGTAATGAAGTTTTCTCGTTCTATTAAAACATCACATTATGTAATCATATTAAAAGTTCCCTTTCCGTTGTTTGCATTCACAAGATCGCCAAATTAACATGTTTTTCTGTTCATCATGATTTACGACCAACGTAATATTCGCAATTAAAAACATGAAAACTTGAAACTATTTAAATTGAGTTATTTTTACAAGCTTATCTACAGAGCTACACAGATATTAGTCACCATGTTTCCGGTTTCAAATAGATTATGACGTCAATACCTGGACTCATGACTATATCTATTCTCATGACACTGGCTCATTCACGTGAAATCTCTACGCAAAATATATTAAGAATTCTCACTATATATATATATACAACAATAACAACGTGGTCAAATGGCAGGGTGATGTTTTGGTTTGAAATGAATATAGGGAAGTTAAATTGGAGAGAAGCAATAAAATTGAGGAGCGGGGGGGGGGAGTAGGCAAGATGTTTGCAATATATTACATGCTATTCTTCAAAGAACGGGCATTGTAAACTTTTGTAAAAAGTACATATATTATTAAAAATATCATTAAAATTTAATTATTACATCATTAAACCTGAACCCAACAACTAGCGTTCAGTCATGAGGCGGACCAGCCCTGTTTAGCAGTGCTGGGATTTCGCTTCCCATATTATTTCACTATATTTGTAAAATTGCATTCATATGGAAAGGGGCCAGCCCGGCTCTGCCAAGATCCCTACTAAACGAAGCGAGATATCGATTTTAGACTCATATATGCATGAAAATATCAAGCGGACCAGCAAAAGCCAGCCTGGCTGGCCCGTCTCATTTGAACAGGCAAGTTTTCCTTGACACGTTATCCCAGCCAAGTTTTATTTGCTCGTGTGTACGCGAAAAAATTGTCAAGGAGCCTTGTTCAAAAGCTAGTCATGCCAGCTTTTCAAGTAGGAAACTGCGCAACAATATCTTCAAGCCAATTGAGCTGTTTTTTGGACGTTTTATCATTCCTATTTGTTTTGAGATTCGATCGTATACTCATTTTATCACATTGCTGTAAATATACTCGACATATATTATCGTAAAACTTGTCAAGGAAAACTTGTTCGCCATACACACGAGCAAGTGAACTGTCAAGGAAGACCTGCCCGTCTGTACGGGGCTTAGGAAGGTCCTAATGTGAGATTGATGGCGCCCCACTCAACTAGCGTGCAAAATGCTAATAGCGTGGTCACAATTTCGTTTGAATTTTCTCGTGGACTATTTGTCTATTTCCACTTTTCAGGACGTAAATTATTCCAGAACATTACAAAACCAATAGTTGCGAATGATCAAAGTTAACTTAAGGCAAACACAGCGACATCTGTCTATCGTGCAAGGCTGGATACAAGTTACCTATGGAAGCCTCGAAAGACCGGGAGTCTTTCAAAAATCCCGCACATGTTGAAAATCCAGCTTCCTTAATTATCGTTATTGCATCCTATTAGAAAGAATGGAAACCTCCCATGCAGATTATTCATGTTTACAGTTTAATCGGTTAGTGAAAGAATCGTTTTCTATATAAAGCTCGAATGTTCTCAGTCGCCGTCACAAATCATGTTCTGCAGTTTATTTAACGCTAGATTAATTTGTTCTAACAAGTACCAGAAGTTCAAGCCGCTTAACGACCTAAAACAAATAAAGAGCGAGATTTGACGACATCTGGTCTGTGTCATTTTATATAAGCCCACACTTGAACTGCAAAAACGTGTCATTCAGCTACGCAGTCCTTTTAAATCTTTCGTCAAGGAATTTCAATGAGATTGTCATCGCGAAGATACGAATAGGAAACTGTTTCCGTTTAAACAACGTTAATATCGTTCATGTTATTCCATCGCGAAAATTCTGCATACGTAGTCGCTGCCTATAATATCGCTTCGAATCGCGTCACAAAAGCAAAGCTCGACTCGACAACACAAAATGGCTAATCGGTGTTTTTAACACCACAGCTCTAACCATTCTTTACTCATTAGCAGAGGAAACACTAAGCACAACAACGTAGGCGTTAATTATTCAATTGCTCGTCTCCCAGCCCTCTTGCCAATATTTTACACGTTTGAAGCATGAAATAGTAAAGCGCGGATTCATGGCACACAAGCCGGATTCAGATTCCGCGACGTTTTCGCCTAAAAAGCAAGTCCTCTCACGATTTTCCACTCTCGTGCATAGCCAGCCCGTGCCCGACTGCAGGTTTACGATTTTCCATTTAATGAAATAAAAAAGTTTCATTCGATGTTTGTATGTGCATGAGTAATGAGTATGTGCATGAGTGCATATTTTACGGCCACAAAAAATTTCTGGGTGGTTTAAATATTACTTCAAAATTAAACTGACAACGCGAAAGTCAGCTAGGTTGGAAGATATGAAGAAAAATAGTGGTTCTATTGAAATACTCCAAGCCCCAGTTTACACTGGCTGTTTTCTGTATCAGAGTTGAGATTTTCCCATTGTCCTACTGAAAACTCGTACAATAAATACCCGGGTGAAATAACCCAGGTGTTCTAACCACAGTTTTAGCTCTCTGCAGTAAGTCGTTTAAAAACACCAATAAATATAGGAACATTAATCCCCCCCCCCTAACGATCTTCCGCGGCCACTGCAAGGATCGATCCACCGATGTATACCTAAAATTCCAACTGTGCCCACGCCGGAAATTTTGACTTTGTAAGCCGGGCTTATATGTATGTGTTTTGTATGTATTTAATATTGTATTTACGCGTTAAATGCATTGGTAAACAGATTGGACCAAAGTTTTTTTTCCGCCTTGCGAGTGAAAATATCTCGCCCACATACTTTCCCGGCTGTAATTGTCTCCAGTTGGTTCATTGACATACGTTTTGCCAACATGAGTTCTATAACCTCAAGCGTTTTGCAAAGTTTCATTTATGAATTCCCTACCATTTATATCATAAAGCTTGTCTACTCGTATACAAATACTTATATCTATATTTGTGTACCTGGATTATATGGAGACTCACAACCTGAGAATATGATATTTTAATAAAAGCTTTATATTTCATTAAAAACTTCTAAATTCATTATAATAGGAAACTTTTAATTTCATTTCAACTTATTATTTCATGTATGCTAAGGTACTTTACAGCACAATCGCATCTTTGACCTTGTATTAAATTGCCAAAAGGTTTTTCACAATTTCTGAGTGGAATGGGTCTTCCAATAAACAGTTTATTCTCTCAATACTAATGGCCGCGCGTTTTATTTGCCATTTAAGCCTGTTTTCCACTAGGCGGAATCTTGCGCACGGAGCGGAATTTTTCCTTGTTTTTCTCACATTTTAGTTCTGCATGAAAGCGCGGAGACAATGAAAAATTCCGCATGGTGGAAAACCGCCCTTATACTTTTATTTTGTTCAAGCGCGGTTAGGTTGAAAACGAATTCAATTTAAGCCAACTGGGAAATCTATCGAGTATAGGAAGAGAATGAGTAATCTAGTAAATTAATTTTGGTGCACGACAATGTCAATAAGTCCAGACCAAATTGTGAAGTTTATCAAGCGA